TGTAATGAGCCAAGATGGCGCCACTGTGCTCCAGCCTGGGCAACAGAGCGAGACTCCATCTCAAAAAAAAAAAAAAAAAAAATGTTTCCAGGCCTGGCGTGGTGGCTCACGCCTATAATCCCAACACTTTGGGAGGCCTAGGCAGGTGGATCACTTGAGGCTAGGAGTTTGAGACCAGCCTGGCCAACATGGCGAAACCCTGTCTCTACTAAAAATACAAAAATTAGCCAGGCATGGTGGCGCACGCCTGTAATCCAAGTTACTCTGGAAGCTGAAGCAGGAGAATCGCTGGAACCTGTAAGGCAGAAGCTGCAGTGAGCCAAGATTGCACCATTGCACTCCAGCCTGGGCAACAGAGTGAGATCTTGTCTCTAGAAGGAAAAAAAAAAAAGTTTCCAAGGTCCCTCACTCAGACATGCTGAGTCAGAAAGTCTGGTATGAGACCAAGGAACATGTTGGTTAAAACATTCATTGAACATGAACTACCTGCCAGGCACACTGTTTAGCACTTCTAGTTTAATGCTGACAAAGCCCCATCGAAGTAGGTGACTGACTATTTTTCAGATGAAACAGAATCAGGTAGGACAGGTCACTTGATTTCATTTATTTTTCCTTATTTATTTATTTATTTATTTATTTATTTATTTATTTGAGGCGGAGTCTCACTCTGTCACCCAGGCTGGAGTGCAATGGTGTGATCTCGGCTCACTCCAACCTCTGCCTCCCGGGTTCAAGCGATTTTCCAACCACAGCCTCCTGAGTAGCTGGGATAACAGGCACACGCCACCACACCCGGCTAATTTTTGTAATTTTAGTAGAGACAGGGTTTCACCTTGTTGGGCAGACTGGTCTTGAACTCCTGACCTCAGGGGATTCGCCTGCCTTGGCCTCCCAAAGTGCTGGGATTACAGGCATAAGCCACCATGCCTGGCCAATTTCAATTATTTTTATTTTCCTTTCTTTTTAAATATCTTACAAAACTGTTCCCCATAGACATTTATTTATTTATATCAAATGTTTATAATGGGCTGGGTGTAGTGGCTCATGCCTATAATGCCAGCACTTTGGGAGGCCGAGGTGGGAGGACCACCTGAGCCCAGGAGTTTGAGACAAGCAGGCAACACAGGGGAGACACCATCTCTACCAAAAATTTTAAAAATTAGCCAGGTGTGGTGGCACACATCTGTGGTCCCAGCCACGGCAGAAGCAGCGGTGGAAGGACTGCTTGTGTCCAGGTGGTTGAGGCTGCAGTGAGCCACAATCATGCCACTACACTCCAGCATGGGTGACAAAGGAAGACCCTGTTTCAAAACAGTGAGGAAGTTTACCATGCATTTAATAAACCCCAGGCAGCATTCCAAGTACTTTACAATTTTGCCATATTGCATCCTCATACCGACTCTATTAGATAGTTCCTGTTCTCCAAATTTATGGATGAGGAGACTAGGGGATGGTGACCTGCCAGAAGGTAATAAGTGACGCACTGGGATTTTTGAACTCAGGCAGTCTAGGTGGAGTCTCTGATGTTAAGTGCATTGATGGTTCTGATGTCAGCTACATCAGGTGCAGACATTGTCAAACAGATACAAAGAGTGGCCACCACAGAATAATGAATCCCAGCTAGGCGCAGTGGTTCATGCCAGTAATCCTAGCACTTTGGGAAGCTTGAGACCAGCCTGGGCAGCATAGTGAGATCCTGTCTCTACAAAAAATTAACCAAGTGTGGTGGCATGTGCTTGTAGTGACAGCTGCTCTGGAGGCTGGGGCCAAGGTTCACTTGAGCCCAGGAGTTTAAGGCTGCAGCAAGCCATGATCGCACCATTGCACTACAGCCTGGGTGACAGAGTGAGACCCTGTCTCTTTAAGGACAAAAAAAAAAAAAAATAAAAATAATAATAATAATCCCCAAGTACCATCGTCAGATTCAATAATATAAACGAATGGCCAATCTTATTTATTTCCAGCCCACTCATTTCCTGTATCCTCATTTATCCTGAGGCAAATCACATTTTAAAAAATTGCTGGGAGCACACCCTTCCCCACCATCACTTTGGTGATAAACAGACTTCACAGTGCCCGGAAGACACTGCAGAGATGCCATTATCTTCCCGCCACACCCACTCCCGTTATGGAAGCCCTTCCATTTCACTTCTCAGCTGCCCCCTAATGACCATCAACCTCTCACCTGGTCTTCCCACCAGGCTTCATGGAGCAGCCTAAGAATGGACCACCCCACCTTGACCCCCGCCCAGCTGCACCATCTGCTCAGCCACTACCAGCTGGGCCCTGGCCTCCAGCCGCCAGCCGCATGGGACCCTCCCCCTGCAGAGCGGGAGGCTGTGGACACAGGTGAGGAGCAACGGGATACAGCATTGGGGCTGTCAGCTTTCTTCTTCTTCTTCTGAGACGGAGTCTCACCCTGTCACTCAGGCTGGAGTGCAGTGCGCGATCCTGGCTCACTGCAACCTCTGCCTCTCAGGTTCAAGCAATTCTCCTGCCTCAGCCTCCTGAGTAGCTGGGATTACAGGCGCGCGCCACCACGCCTGGCTAATTTTTTGTATCTTTAGTAGAGACGGGGTTTCACCATGTTGGCCAGGCTGGTCTCGAACTCCTGACCTCGTGATCCGCCCGCCTCGGCCTCCCAAAGTGCTGGGATTACAGGCGTGAACCACGGCACCTTTCTTTTTTTCTCAGGATCTTGGAGTCTAGATCCCCAGTCTCCTAAACCGATTCTGGACCCCTGTCCCTCTCCACCAGGACATAAGTGCAGGACCCAGCCCCTTCCCCTCTCAAGATACAGGAGTTCAAGCTCCCTTTATTCTCAGTGATTCGCATCCCTAGTCCATTCCCTCCACCAGCCACCCACCCACCACCCCTAGGAGTCCAGGTCTCGGGACTTTCACTCCCCTGAACTTGACTCCTCCACCTTTAGGAATCTGTAAGGCAAGTTCCGAGCCCCTTCTCAGGGATTTGGGAAGCCGTTTCCCAGGCAACGGTGGCTTTCCATCGTCTGAATTACAACTTCCATTATGCCCAGGGGCTCCTAGAGTAGCGTGTGAACGGACCCCGCCCCAGGAGTTGCTGGGGTTTGAAGTTTTTTTCTTCCTTTGGGTGTGACGCAGCCTCTCCCCGATGCAACTACCTCACTTCCACTCCTACTTCGGTCTCACAGGTGACATCTTCGAAAGCTTCTCCTCGCACCCGCCCCTCATCCTGCCCCTGGGGAGCTCGCGCCTGCGCCTCACTGGTCCAGTGACGAACGACGCCTTGCACCGTGAACTCCGCAGGCTACGCCGCCTCCTCTGGGATCTTGAGCAGCAGGAGCTACCAGCCAATTATCGCCATGGGCCTCCCGTGGCCGCGTCTCCATGAGAACCAATACCAAACGACAGCGCGCACCTTGAAATGTCGCGGGCTTCCACTGACAGGAGCCCGCCTGGGCGCAGAGCTTTATGGGCGTTGTAGTTCTTATCGCGCGTGGAATGTTGGGAGATTGAGTTTTCGGGAAGTAGCGGATGGGACGGTGGGAGCATGGGCTTAGGATGTGAATGCCAAGGACAAATAAAGGTATCTGTGGTATTGGCAGCGCCTCGATTGTTAAGACTCGGGGGCGCTAATGATGGTTTTCTGCAGAACAAGGTTGCAGGGCCCTTGTCTGGGCCCCTGCCGAGTCTGAGTAGGTATTTATAGCCACGGCCTTGGCTCGCCCTTTTGCATGTAATCCAATCCAAGAGCACAGGAGCTTCCCACACCCCTCAGAACACGGCCCTAAGCTTGCTCTGCCGATTATAAGGCCCTCAGTCCTGCCAGTGGGAACCAGCGATGTCTCCCTTCGACTCCCAACCCGCAAATCCATACTCCAGCCCCCTCCTCCCTCAGACCCAGGAATCTGAGTCCCCAGCCCCCTCTGGACCTTTGCCTGCCAGGCACACTGCCGAATCCCAACACCTCTGTCCCCGTTCCCAGCACCCCAGAGGCCCCTGCCTCTTTTTCTTCAAACCCAGGAGTCGAGGTCCCCATCCCTCTCCTTTCTTGGATCCAGGAATCTGGGCCCCCAGTTTGAACTTTTCACTCCCCTGAACTTGACTCCAGTTGCTGCGTCAGGGAAAAAGTAGGCGACAGGTGGCACCTGCCGGCAGGGCCAGGACACGACCACCTGCCGCTGCTGCTCACTCGGCGCCCCTCTCCGGGCACCTGCTTCTGTCAGTCCGCCTGCCACCGCTCCACCCCACCCCACAGCCCCAGGACGCGCAGGGGGAGCGAGCCGGGGAACCCTGGCGTCCCCCCTCTACCCCCCAGCATCCCCCCAGGCCCGCTCAGGCCCTCCCAGCGGGTGCTCCCACCCCTTCTCAGGGTCCCCAGCGGGGCTCCCGGCACACCCCAGGAAGGTGGGTTGGAGGCGGTCCCAGGCTGGTGGGGCGGAGCCTGCGGTGTCCAGCCTCGGCCTCTAGACTCAACCTGCCCCAGAGCACAGCTTCGCCGAGCCCACCTGGTGAGAAGCCCCTGGGGTGGACGGGGGGCGCACTCCTCAACGGTTCTGTCCCCTCTCTGGTCCCAGTCCCTTCCCCAGAGACCCTGGTGACTGATACCCCACTCACTCCTTCTCAGATACAGGTCACAGGGACCCTTCTGTTCCTCAGAAACCTGTCAGGGCCGGGTTCCCCTCTCCACTCAGGATCTTGGATTCTCTTCTCCTTAGAGTACTGAGTTCCAGCCCTTAACCTCCTTCTCCTTCAAGATTCCAGAGTCCAGGCCCCACTGCTTCCTCCCTTTCCTTGATGCAGGGGTCCCAACCCACAATCCCTTCCTCCTCAGGACCTAGGATTCCCAGATCCCAGGTCCCTCCCCTCCCAGGATACCGGAGTTGAGGCCCTCAGCCCCTGTCTTTCAGACCAGGGGTCTAGGTTCCCAGCTCCCTCCTACCTCGGAGCAAGGTGTCCAGGTCTGCAGCCCCCTCCTCTACAGCCCCTGGGATCCAGAAGTTATGGCCCAAGGCTGCTCCTATTCCCACCTCCCTCGGGCCCTTTCCCTGCTGAATTCACTCACAGGGGCAGCCTTCTGACCTCCACTCTGAGCCAGCCCACTATGGGGCCCCTGCCCTGCCCCCTCTCCGTCCAGGTCCCCATCCCGGCCTTGGCAATGACCCTGGCGGCTTCCTCCCAGCGTTCCCAAATCATTCGCTCCAAGTTCCGATCTGGTGAGAGCGGGTTCTCTTCATGTGTGGGGGATGGGATCCTGAGAATGCTGTACTCTGGGGTGGGAAGGGAGGGGTGGTAGGACCCATGAGACCTGCGTTTTTTGTGCAAAAGGTCACTTTGCATAAAGGAGGCCCCAGCACAGGGGTCCAGCTGTGGTGGATCGAGTGTGCAAATGGCTAGTACCACCCTCACGGGGGGGGGTGGGGGGAGCAATGGGGATTGGAGGCCAGGGGTAGGCATGCAGAGTGTTCGAGCACTGTAGAGAAACAAGGGCTTACTATGGTGCACGTGCAGAGGCAGAAGAGCAGAGGAGGGACTTCAGGGGACCAGTGTGCGAGTTTGGGTGAGGGGACAATGAGTTGTCAAGCTGTGAGTGTCAAAGGTCTTGTTTTAGGTCCCAGGGCAGGCAAAAAGTCTGCAAGTATAGCCGGGCATGGTGGTGCATGCCTGTAATCCCAGCTACTTAGAAGGCTGAGGCAGGAGAATAGTTTGAACCTGGAGACGGAGGTTGTGGTGAGCCGAGATGGTGCCATTTCACTCCAGCCTGGAAAACAAGAGCAAAACTCCGTCTCAAAAAAAAAAAAAAAAAAAAAAAAAGTGTGTAAGTGTTTCGAACTGTAGATCAGTTCCTGAGAAGGCAAAGGTACTTCAGTGTGCACATGAGATGTCTGTGTGATTGGATGGGTACAAAGACACCAGAAACCAAAGAGCAAGGAGTGTACAAAAAGGCGCATATATCCAGAGAAGAGCAGAAATGTGCAAAGAGAGATCCTTGCTCCCAAACTGGGGGACAAACCCTGAGTGTGCACATAAGATAGTTAACATTCATCCTGGCCAGGTGTGGTGGCTCACGCCTGTAATCCCAGCACTTTGGGAGGCCGAGGCAGGTGGATCACCTGAGGTCAGGAGTTCAAGACCAGCCTGGCCAACATGGCGAAACCCTGTCTCTACTAAAAATACAAAAAATTGACGCCAAGCGAGGTGGCTCATGCTTGTAGTCCTAGCACTTTGGGAGGCTGAGGTGGGCAGATTGCCTGAGCTCAGGAGTACGAGACCAGCCTGGGCAACACCGTGAAACCCTGTCTCTACTAAAATACAAAAAATTAGCACAAAAAATTATGCCTGTAGTCCCAGCTACTAGGGAGGCTGAAGCAGGAGAATTGCTTGAACTTAGGAGGTGGAGGTTGCAGTGAGTCTAGATCATGCCACTGCACTCCAGCCTGGGTGACAGAGCAATACTCTTGTCTCGAAAAAAAAAATTAGCCGGGTGTGGTGGCGGGCACCTGTAATCCCAGCTACTTGGGAGGCTAAGGCAGGAGAACAACATAAACCTGGGAGGCAGAACTTGCAGTGAGCCGAGATCATGACATTGCCCTCAAGCCTGGGTGACAGAGCAAGACTCTGTCTCAAAAAAAAAAAAAAAAAAAAAAAAGATAGTTAACATTCATCCTGGGCAACACAGCGAGACCCTGTCTCTACAAAAAATAAAAACAAAACAAAAAAATTTAGCTAGGTGTGGTGGTGCATGCCTGTAGCCCCAGGTACTCAGGAGACTGAGGTGGGAAGATGAGTTGAGCCCGGGAGTTCAAGGCTGCAGTGAGCTGTGATCGCACCCCTGCACTCCAGCCTGGGCTACTGAGCGAGACTTTGTCTCTAAAAAAATAAAACAAATTTTAAAAAGGAAAAAAGAGTGTTAACATGGATGCTGAGGCACAGTGGGTCAAGGATGAAGAGTGTGCAAAAACATGCACGTGCACAAAAATGGCATGTGTGCAAAACTAGAGCCCAAAGAGATGCATACTTAAAATGTGGATATGCGGAGAGTGTTAACTGTAGGAAGGCCCCTGGATAGTAAGAAAGTAGCAGGAGTACATGGATAAAGGGAGGCGAGGTGCAAAGGGGCCAGGCTGCCAAGATGGCGATTGCGCAGGGGGTGGGGTGGGCACACGCTTGCTCATGGAGGGGGCAGGTGGAGCCAGGGGCAGGGCTGCCTCCTGCCTGCACGCTGGCTGGCTCGTAGCCCCAGAATGGCTCTGGCCCGAAGCGCTGCGCTGGCAGAGAGCAGGCGGGAGGCCCGAGGAAGGGAGCCTGCTGCCCGCCCACCCGCCTGCACAGGCTGTGTAAGGGGGCTGGGCACGCGTGTCCCGCCAACAACTGCAGCTCCCACCCGCCTGCCAGGCCAGGCTCCTGGACACTCCCTTCCCGCCTTCCTCCTCCCACCTCCCTCCTCCCTCCACAGTCCTCCAGCTTCGGATCCACAGACGGAATCAGGAGCAGAGTAAGTGTGGGCCCCAAAAGGGAGGGGATGGTGACTTCCACGCCGATTGGGATATCCTGGAATACGGCTGCCAGATAGCCCTCATTGGTTCCTGCAGCTCAGTCCCCATCCCCCGGGACAGACCAAAATCCCAGCCTGTCCTTTCCCAAGGATCCAGGGGTCCAGGTCTCTGGCCACCCCACCCCTAGGAGCTCTGCTTCCTGCTTCTCCACCCCAATGAGATGCATGAGTTTGGATCCTGCTTCTTTGGAGAAGATGGGCATCCCAGTCTCCACATTTGGTATACACGAGAAGCTCTGGATGTCGTTTTTGTTTTTGTTTTTTTGAGATGGAGTCTTGCTCTGTCGCCAGACTGGAGTGTCATGGCTCAATCTAAGCCCACTGCAATCTCTACCTCCCAGGTTCAAGCGATTCTCCTGCCTCAGCCTCCTGAGTAGCTGGGATTACAGGCAGGCACCACCACTCCCAGCTAATTTTTGTATTTTTTGTAGAGACGGGGTTTCACCATGTTGGCCAGGTGGGTCTCGAACTCCTGACCTCAAGTGATCCACCCGCCTCAGTCTCCCAAAGTGCTGGGATTACAGGCATGAGCCACCGCGGTTGGCCTGGATGTAGCTTTCAGCCTTTCCCTCTCCCCAAGAACCAGGAGTGCAGGCCCCACCCCTGTCCTAGCAAAACCTCGGACATCTGTGATCCTCAGCTACCACACCCCTTTGTGATAGAAAATTCCTGCTTTACTTGAGAATGTAACAATCGGGCCCCCCCACACCTCCGCCCTCAGATCCAGGAGTTCAGGCGCCCAGCTCCCAGCACTCAAGTCTTGCTCCCTGGCCTGCCCTCCTGCACCTCGGGGCCCCGCTTTCCACACAGCCTTGCTCCTCCCGGCCTGGCTTGCTGCCTGCAGGCCTCTCAGGGTCCTTCATCGTCTCTCCAGTCTCGGATCCAGACCCGTGGATCTCAGCCTCGGGCCCTCCTCTGGCCCCCGCCTTGCCCTCGGGCACGGCCCCTTTCCTCTTCAGCCCTGGGGTCTTGCTCCCCGAGCCAGAATATTGTCCTCCTTGGAGGTCCCCAAAGAAGGTGAGTCTCGACCGGAGGGAGATGTCCCTATGAGAGCCCAGCCTTTGTCTCCCTTGCTGCTGCTGCCATTTTTGCTCCTCTTTGGTGGCACCGAGCTGTCTCTACTTTGCATGTAGCCCCCGGGCAGGAAGGTGGGAGCCGCGCTGAAGCCTAGCACATCATACCTGCTCTTTCAGGAGTCTCCCAAGATCTCCCAACGCTGGAGGGAGTCCAAGCCCAGGGGGAACTTGACATACCACCAGTACATGCCCCCAGAGCCGAGACAGGGATCCAGGGCGGACCCCCAAGCCGAGGGGTCCGCCCTGGGTCCTCCCGGGCCACCTCTGTGGGAAGGGACAGACTCGCAGCAGCCACATCCTAGGTATGACGCCCCTTTCTGTTCTCCCGGGCCCCAGAAATTCAGGTCCCAGCATCTTCCTCTCTCAAACCTCGAGTCCACGATTAGGGGATTCGGGCCCCCAACCCCCTCCTCCCCCAGGGTTTAAGAGTCC